TTTTGAGCGAAGTATGGCCACTGCCTTAGGCACAGTTTTTAGTTGGTATGTTAGATTACACCGTTTATTTGAGTTTGTCATTAATTTTAATTATATTTGTAGATCGACTATGTGTTAGCTTATGAAGAAGGTGTTGGTGGTGGCGATACTAGCGATTCTCCATCCTATGCTGAAGAAAATATAGATGAGGATGAAGACGAAGATGTGAGTGCTCTGTGTCCATATTTTGCAGAAATCTTTTTTTCTGTGGATTTGCATACAAGGAGAATTTCCCTTATAGGACAAGGCTACACAGATGTCTGCGTTCAGTAAGCTAGAGAAGAGACAAAATAGGCGATACTATTTCGAGACGAACTTGCAGAAGATGGGATTGGAGATTGAACGACGTTCGATCTCACCTTTGGTATGTTTTGTCATTTATGCCTATTTATCTTTCACTTTTTACTTCCATTTCCGACTTTATGTCTTTACTTTTAACAACTCTTTTATCGAAAATCTCACAGAAGATTTTATTCATTTTTTTTGTTGTTTCAGTTGGGTCGCACTCGATTTGTTCTTTTGCATGCACCGTTTCCTGTTTTGGAGAAGCAAGCGCAATTGCTCTGTGTGAAGCTTCCAGTGCAACAAAGTGACGTTGATTTCCAGGTAACTTGCATTCTTTTTACATGTTCGCCTGTCTCCTATTTTCTTATATCTTTTCCAGTAGCATCCTTCACTAAAATACCCGTCTTGTGGTAGTGAATTTCACTTATTTTTGCTCATAAAGAGGGCAGCGCACTTGAAATCGAGCTTTCTTCTCTCTTTACTTTTTCACGGGTCTCGGATTCTCACTGGAGTCTTTTGAAGATTGAAAAAAATAGCTTCCTTGAGCGATTAAATCAAATATCAAACTTCTGCACGTTTCCGTTTGGTCGTACCAAATTTTTTTCCCAAAGTTTTTGTCAGTACAGCCTTGGCTCATAAATTTCGTCTGTATCAGACGCATGTGATTTATGTTCATTTGCCTACATAAGTGGAACTGTAAATGGTTTTTCAGGATCGGACGGCACTTCCCGGCTTCCTTGATAGTTTACTTTCTCGAATTGGTATTTTTGAGTTTGATGCGAAAACTAGGAAAATCTTGGAGGAGCCAGATTTTTTCACTGCACCCTATTCTAGTGATAGGCGGAAACAGTGAGTCCACTTTATTCTCAACTGCACAATATTCATTTTTCTAAGTCGTAAATTACCTTTCACAGGTTTGTAAACTGGGATCGACCAGACATCCTCTTCCCACATTCGGAGCGATCTCGAATGGTTTATGATCTGCTTACTCGAGCGCATTACGATAATCCACATCTCGCATCGAGAATGCGCAATCACTACCGATTTGGAATCGAACGATTGATCGC